TCTTCTACTCTGTGGGATGTCTGGACGCTACAAGGTCCCAATCCCTTGCATGTATTGTAACAACGTAGATCTTTTTGCTTAGTGGAAGTTCTCCAAGTACTTAAAAAGCCAGTTTAAAGTTATTTTTTGCCTGACCACATTGTATGAGTTAACTCGATCATCAAACTAAAAGAGAAATATTTCGTTGCAAGTACCTCACATATTGTTGTAAAAAGACGCAGATTAGAGGTCATCTTTTTCGCTTGTACGATTATTAATACCAGGAATCATCTTCTGCCTAATCATTTGGTTGCAACAAAAACTACGATACAATACTCATAAGCAATGTGTTTGTATCGACTGGATTTGGCTATCCTCGACCAATGAGCGTTTAAAGACTTGATCACGGATTTTGGTGTGCTTTGGTTGGTTCTGTTTTCCGGTCTGATTGAGGGTCTGTATCATCTCTTGTGTTCCTGCAGCCGCCACAGTTGTATCCTCTCCCCTTGGTCAAGATCCTCATCCCACATCTTCTGTTCGCAAGGCGATGGTTGATGAGGTGGAGGGGTTCATTCAATTTCGCAGCCCAATTTTTGCCGTTGGAGCATCAAATAGTATTATGGTGAAGGTGACAACCTCTCTCAATTGTTTGTGCACTAAACCTATATACGACGTTGTTATTAGTAATGAATTTCAAGACACCGAAGCTTATTGTGAGCAAAGAGAGGCTTTTATCGCCTTGCTTGACGGGTGGATGCATCAGCGTGTTCGTTTTGTTGGTCTCGAGCGAGCCACATTATTTAGCGGCCAGGTAACCTTGTTTGTTGGCACAATGCAAGCTGTTATTCATGTGCTGCCTCGGTAATTAAGTATGACATGACTGCTCATTATACCAGCAAATTGCTACTTATGTTTTGCCCTTGGTTAGGATAGTCAGGACCTGTAGTTCTTTTCTCCTTTCCTATATCCTGGCCATGTAGGTTTTATGAATTGATGCAGAGCTCCTGTATGTTGGGTCCCACTATCCTCTCGTAACGTCCGTACTGGATGTTGGCGCCTTTAAACCGTTATCATATGTGTCTTTCTCAGCTCGTGCTCGGCATACGGTTGTTTTATTACAGCATTAGAACTCCAAACAGTATCTGCTATTGTTAAATAGGTTTACTTTTAAAGTGTTATTCGTATTCGCTGAGTTTTTAGTTTTTTTGCACTACCATGGCGCCAATATTCGAAAGCGGCAAAATGTAGCGTTAATTGGACATTGCCGTAGGTGTCCTCCAAAATGCCTACTTGCGAGGTAGCTACTGCAGTCGAGATTAGTCAGTAATTACGAACCTTAATGAGCATTGTGGTGCTGTAGTTGCATAGACACTCAGGCTGAAAGTAGGCAAGTGTGGGTTGTGAATGTTGTAGCTGAACGAGGTCGAAGTGTGGTGCTATGTGCCAGGAAGGAGTAGCGTGGAGATCGTTCCGATTAGTTCAGGATTTGTCTCTTCTAAACCTCATACCTGTCCCAACTGGCCGCCGCATCTACTGCCGTGCGTGGACTTGAATGTTACAAGCTCCTATCTACATTTTTGCGCAGTCGAGTGTCATGGTTGTGGAGATGGCGTTGCACGAGACGCCATTCTTGACACTCACTCTTTCTCTACTCCACTGTTACCGAAGTCTCGGATCCGTGTCTTCGGTTTGTGGGTTGTTCAAGGTCGGTACCTGCAGCCCGGCGTCTTTACTTCTTGGCAGAGTGCAGATGGTTCTCCTACCACCTTCTTCACTCTCCCTCTTCATCCTAATGCTGCTTCGCCTTCAAAAAGTGCTTTGCGACTGGCATTGATGGAGATTTTTACCGTAAGACGCTAGGCAATACACTCCTTAAAGTTGATAACTGTCATTTTGTGTGCACAATGCTCATGTGTTGTTAATTTTCTTCAACTGCATTATTGTACATAAAAAATAATTTTACCTAAATGATTGGGTTTAGTAAATTAGTCATCACGCCTTCCTCAGGACCTTCTTAAAAATCCGGCTAGGTGTCATTCACGTACCACGGTTATTTCTTTACCTTCTAAGTCCGCTTGATATCCGGCCTTTGGGTCACTAATTGGCATGCTATATTGTGCAATACCTTAGAGATTGTTGCATGCAGTGAACTGGGAACGTTGGCATGACATGTTTATAAATTCTATGCTGGAAAGACTTGATAAACTGAAATCCAGTTGCCAGCTGGGTGTAGTTTTTAGTGGTGGTTTCACTTCCATGTGAGTTGTTGTCGTTCATCATCGTTTAAATTGAGTGTCTAGGTTGTTGGGCTCCCTTTATGCTTTCGTTTCACCTGTGTGTATTTTGAACAACTGACAATGAGTCATGTGACAGAATGATAGGTGGTTGCTTCTGCCTTCATCGAACCGCAGATGTTCCGTGAAGTGCTTGTTTTAGCGAAACCCTGTACGTTAACGACATCGGCTTAAGTTCAGAGCTGTATTTGGCCAATTGCGATGTAAAATGTTTTAGCATTAGTGCTGTTTCCTACTTTTCTTTGAGTGGTAAAAAATATTTGTTTTCTTGCTTAGATTGCGATGTATTTTTAATTTGGCCCAAAGTTGTTTGATTACGACAAGTTATTTGGTGTTCTCTATGAGGCATTTGAAAAGGCTATGTCTACTTGCACTTGTTGTGGTTAAATGAAACCCGAATAGCTTCTTACTCTCTTTGCCATTTTATACAAAGTGCTGTGGTTTGTGCTACCAGTAAACTACGGTAGCTGACTGAGAAAAGTGGTGAGCGAAGGGGAACAGGATTGGTCGACTCAGCATAGACAGACGAGATCGACGCGTACTCGTTAGAGGCGGCAAGGAGAAAAAGAACAGCAATGCTCATTGCCCACCAGTAGCCATTCAAGTTCGCTGAAAATGTCGCCTGCATCTCTCCAGTATTTGGTTCGTTTAATTTCCAAAAAATTGGTCATCAAGAAGTCCGTCCAACGCTACTTTCATAGTTTTGCTGGTGGTGAGGCTTTTCTACTGCCTTTTCAGTTAGATGACCAATTACGGTAACAGTGAATTCGTACTGCTTCTCTAGTGGTGGCAGCGTAAAGATGATTACTGAGGTCACAAAACTGAAGCTGAACTTTTGTTTATTCCCACTTCCTTTTATAGCCGCCTTTGGGTGCAACTGGAAGCGAGGGCCAAGAGAAGGCTTCTCTCTGGACTGAGTCGGCTTTAAATGCCATTTTCGGTAATACGAGGAGAAGCGAGTCCCCATCTGCCATTCATTTAGCTGACAAATTCATCCGCCTGCACGAACACATGCCTTCACCATGCATAAGCCATCTTTTTTTGACCTCGGACGACCTTGACGACGTCAGCTCCGCGTTTCAATCAACTGAAGAACCTATTGATCTGAGGTTCCTTTCTATCAAACCTTTAAATAGGATTGTTGACGTGAAGTGAATCCAGAGCCCATCGATGCATTCCCTTTCTGTTACAAATGCTAGCATTGAGGTCTTATGGTTTATTGAAATCAAAGTCAATGTGTGCAGAATGCGTAATGCCCAACTGGTATTCAAATATTTGGTTTGTCAAATGGGTTTTACGTTAACGATTTTTTGCCTTTTAGTGGTAGAACGCTTCAAATTTTTGAACCACGCGCCACGTCGCAGGAGGTCATTTTGATTGCCCGACTAGGGATGGATGCATGCACTGGAGCACTGAAAATCGGTCCGATCTTTGGTTCAAAACAATCGGCAAAAATTCCTCTGCTGCTACTTTCCCCTTCCACGACTGACTTGGGGGTAGGAAGTCCATTTGGCGAGGTGGTACTGATCAGACGTCCTCGTCTAGTCGTTTCGGTTGTGAGCGAAGAGGCCCTGACCGTTCGTGCCTTTGGACAATGGTAAAGTAACGAAGACTTGTGATTACCTCCCGTTGATTAGCGCTGAGATTTTTTGGCAAGCACTACTGCCGATACTCTGATCAACCGTACTATGTTAACTGTTCGAAATACTTGTTCAAAATGATAATATTTGGACAAATCCAACGTCAAATGACTGCAGCAAACAGTACCAAAAACCTTGACACTACATTACTCGACGGAATGCTGCAGTTTTACTTTTATGAAC